TGCTGGGCAAAGGCCAGGGCCTCCCACCGCGCGGGAAGACGCGGGCTCCAGGGGCCCCAACTCCAGCCTCTGCTCCCCAGCCAGGCTGCAGTGGCCCAGGGCCCTGCAGGCACCTCGGAGGTCCCGCTGCGGCACTCCCTGGCGCTTCATGACCACGGCAGGGACTCACCCCGCCAAGCCCCAGGGTCCTCCCAGCCAAGTCCACCAGCCGTAAGGCTTCCCTCCATCCCGTCCTGCGATTGGGCTGATCTCCCACTCCCCAGGCACACACACGCCACGCACACCCACACACCCACACACAAGTTGTACTTCTGTTTTACTTACTTTTATTGTTTATAGTCATTTATTTGCAGTACCAGGGATGGAACCCAGGCTCACCACTGGGCCACACCCCCAGGCCTTCTGAGGGCTTATTTTGAGACAGGATCTAAGTTGTTGAGACTGTCCTCGGACTTACGATCCTCCTGCCTCAGCCTCCAGAGTCGCTGGGAGCTAGTGCCCTTGGCAGGGTTTATTTCTCTGCTTACCAGATTTCTGGTGCCCAAAGATGACCATGCCACAAAGCCAGGGACGACCCACGGGTTTCACATATGAACCTTTGTCAGCAGATCAGGGAACAGCTTTGGGTCCCAGAAAAGTGTGGCGGTGAGACTCGGCCGCTGGGGAGCGTGACATGTACACAGTGCTCCAGGTGGGGGAGGGGCGCTGTCACCACTGTTTTAGTAAAAGGGCTGGTGACACGAACGGTGCCCATGACACTTGACATTGGCTGAGGCAGGAGCCGAAGCCCCCAGGGAGTCCAGCCTGGTCTTGCGTGAGCTGTGTCCACACGCAGAGCACAGAGCATGCCGTCCAGCCCAGGGTGGCAGGACACGGGAGCATTTCCATGGTCACCCTGGGCGGGGGGCTCCTCAGCGGCCCCTGCGCCTTCAGCTCTTGTTGAATACGAGGCTCGTGGAGGAGCAGCCGGGACTGGGGAAACCCGTTCCCACCAGGAAGTTCAGAGACCGTCCCCTGTTGGCGGGTGCTGACCCGTCAGGTTCTAGACATTTGGCAGGACTTCCAAAAAAGAACTGGAACCTGGGACAGGCCAGCAAAATTCCAAGAGCCTGGCCACCTGCCTCGGAGGCTCTTCGTGAGCACACGCAGGCTTGGGTGCCTCAGCTTGGGACACGAGAGTGGGGCGGGAGGCACTGCGGCCACAGCTGCCCGCCCCCGGGTGGCCTGCAGGCAGGCAGCTCCAGCTGCATCTCCTTCCAGGGATGTGGAGCTGTCGCCCCTCCCAGCTCCCCGCCACCCCCAGGCCGGGCAGGACCTGTGTTAGCCAGCTTTCCCTGGCCGTGACAGAACACCTGGCTGGAGCAACTTGGAGGACGCAGGTGGCTCAGGGCTCAGAGGTTTCTGTGGACGGCTGGCTCCGAGACAGAAACTCATGGTGGTGGGGGGGGCGCGGAGGGGGTGCCCAGCTCCTGCCAGCTAGGAAGCAGAGAGAGCACGAGCGAGGAACACCTAGAGACAGACAGAGTCCCCCTAGGCACACCCCAGTGACTCGCTTTCTCCAACACATGCCCCACCTCCTGGCGTCCACCTCCTTCCTGTTGTCCATTCCAATGTGACTCCATCAGTGGATTAATCTACTGGTGAGATGAGAGCCCTTGTGATCCTGTCACCTCCCAGAAGCCCTGTGTCCAGACATGAAGGCTGTGGGGACAAGCCTTCAGCACAGGAGACCTCAGGGGACACTCCAGATCCCCCAGTAACTGGGCTCCTTCGGACCAAAGCACAGGAGGGCACCAGCCCCCAAGCCATTCCTGGCCCCTCTTCCTCCCTCTCTCTTCTCACTCCTTTCTCTCCCTTCCCTGTGACTTGAGGGCAGGTGGCCCCATGGGTCTCTGCCACAGACAGACACGGTGAGTCTGCACAACCACCACAGCACCTTGTGCCGTCCGTCTGCAGACCCAACAGCCTCTGCGGCCCTCCCCCTCCCCCCACCCACCCCCACCCCCGCAGCTTCCAGGACTGCAGAGGAAATCTCTCCATCCACCCACCCATCCATCCCCTCCTCCACCGGCCCTCCCCCTCCCCCCAGCAGCTGTTACCTAATAGACTGTTAATGATGGTGCAGGGAGTGGGAGGCAGGGTCCTGGGGGAGCCGCTGTGATCTGTGTAATTGGTCCCGAAGGAGCCGAGGCGCTAATATTTACCACAGCCTTAGTCCTCCGGGAGCCTCGCGTCGGCTGAGCCCAGGAGAGACTCCGCCGGGCACCACCCCACCAGCATCGCCCGCTTGGAGGGTCTTTAGTTAACGGAACGCCCTGCCCTGTGGTGAGGTACGGGCCTGCAGGGCCAGCCTGGTGGGCCCCTTGGCCTCATTCCTTCCAGTTGGCACGCAGCAGGAACAGGCCTAGCGACCCTGGGGGCCTGAGGTCCCCGAGGCGGAGGCCAGTGCTGAAGGGCAGGGGAGGGAGGGCACACCCGAGGCAGCTCCCAGGGGCTGATGGAGCCTCTGGATCCAGCCGTGCCTGAAGCCCTGTGCTGACCAGCAAAGCCCTCCTCCGCTCAGCACAGACACATGGGGAGCCCCACCTTCCGGGGCCTGAGAGGTTTTCCGCTGGTGGCAGTGTGTTTGTGCCCTCTTCGTTGTGCCCAGTGGCCCCATGGTGCACCCTGCTAGAGGAGTACAGCTGTTCTGGGGGCTCATGGCCATGCAGCCCCCCAGGTCTCGCGGGGCCAGGGGCTGGCACAGTGCCTGTGACCCCACTTGCAGCCCAGAGGATCCGGCTCCTCGTGCGCGGGCCTTGTGCGAGGAGCTCCCCTGGGCAGGCTGGTCGCTGGCCGTCTCAGGCTGGGGAGTCGGGAGGCTGGGCCCGGAGGCTGGCCTGGGCCCCGGGTCTGGGGGCCTCCCTCCAGAGGCCGCTCTCAGCCCCTGGCACAGGGACTTCTCACGCTTGCCACTCAGCTGCAATGACCTCTCCAGAGCAGAGTTCTGGGCTTTCTGCCAGGGCGTGGGACGGGCCAGCTGTGAGCCTGCACCCAGCCTGGGGCCACCACCGTCCAGCCCTCCACCGGGGTCGTGTGTTGGGGAGGGCAGGGGCTCTGATGGCCGCGGAGCCT